AAAAACAAAAACAAAGCAAACAAGAACAGGCTGCTCGGGAAAGAATAATCTAATTAAGAAAAGGCTCTCAGAAATTAAATATATTGTCTCTTTAAAATTCTGTAGAATAGTTTGAAGATAAAGTCAAAAAATTTTCTGGCCTTGTACAAGAGAGAGAGGGAGAGAAAGGGAGGAGAGAGAGAGGGACAGAGAGAGAGAGATGGATGAACCTTGACGACATTATGCTAAGTAAAGTAAGCCAAGCACAAGGTGAGCGGAACAGCTTGTGTGCCTGGGATGGGAGCTACAGGCCCAGAGACCATGCTTCAAGTTATAGGTGTGATACACTCCATAGTTCCAGTGCTAGTTTTGACTGGACATTACCAGTTTTTTCATCTGAGGGACAACACTACCAAATAGAATATATTTTTAAGGCTACTAACCTTTACATCAGTAAAGCTTTATATATCAGTAGCTCTCAGAAGGAAAGACTGGGCAGTAACTATTATACAAAAGAAAGTACCTAACAAATTACTGGATTCCAGTCCAGTGACTCATTTATTCAAGATAACCAAAACCATCGACTGTGTAATGACCAGAGTGACAGTGACAGCAAATCCCAGGTTCAGAAATCACACTGTGAGACAGCTAATTAGTGATACAAGTATGGCTATGAAATTCCTAGGAAAATGCTGTGTAAAGAATCACTGCCATTTCTCAAGGCCACACACAGAAATGGTGCTGATGGAGAACAAGGTTATAGATGGCTGGCCAGGTGTGACCCTGCAGGTTCCTACTGTGGGTTTAAAGCCACTGTGGCAGGAGTTAAACTGACCCAACCAGTTTCCTTGAAAAAAATGTGAAGGAGAAAGTTGGATGAATAGTTGAATAGACAATGGAAGCTGCAATTACATGTCTATCTACTGTTCTATTAACTGATTATAACCTTTCCAAATGGGAGTTGGAATTGAAAATTCAAAATTCTTACAGAGATTGATGATGTTCACCTTCTTGTTCTAGCAGAGAAAGTCTAAACATTGCCATCAGTTTATGGAATCCATGAGGTCAATTGCCTGTTTTTGGTAGTGACAAACCAACATTATGGAGGTCCCTGGATTGATCAAAGAATTTCTCCTTCTTCTACTACAGGAATGGTTAGGACTATGTATAAATAAAAACAGTACTTTTGGGGGGAAATGGTCAAGTTGGTCAACATTATGCTATATATATTTTACCATGATAAAAAGCAATTTAAAAGGAAAAAATTAGTGTTAATTTGATTTTTAAATAATTTTATGTATGTTTTTATTTTGTTATAATATTAATTTTTAGAAAGTTCTGAATGGATGCCAAAGAATACATGTGTCATAAATGTGCATACAGTTTATGACATTAACGTGAGCCACACAGGGGTCTCTTTTGCTTTATTTTTTCCAGTTCTTTCCTGTGTTATCTTTAGATAAAGATAATTATTTTCAATTAAGGGAAGTAATATTGAATATAAATATTTAGTGAATACAATTCAGGAGCATTTGAGCTACAAGGTCACTAAATGTAACACATTAACACTGAACAGATTTATCCAGCTTGAATAAGGACCTCGTTATGCAGGAATTTTCCTTTTATGGCCTCAGCCGTCCTCAGTGGCTATTGTCTAAATACTTGGCTGTGCAGTCACCCCTGAATGGTGTATAGGAGCTCATCTCTGCATGTGTGGGGGACTGGGTGGAACTGTCAGTGAACTAAAGATATAGTAGCAGGTAAGTGCCTGTTTATTACAGCTGTTTTCTGGCTCAGGAGTTTATTTTTGTAATCACTTTCCTTGACCTGTTCCAAATAGCAGAAATGTGTGTATTTGTTTCTTTATAGTTATAAGCAATAAAAGGTCAATTAACTTGGCAGTATGAAGTTCAGCTAGTAAAGCACAATCCTAATTCAAATAATTGTCCCCTAAATTTACAATTGAGAGGCAGCTTTAAGAAGAAAACGACAGTAGACAACAACTTTATATATCCTTAGAGACTTCAAACTGTTTTCTAGCCTTTAAGTCATGCTGCTCAGTTTTGACAGGTTGCATTTACTTTCAAGGGTTTATTGCTATAAAAACAGTGTTATATCTTGTCATCCCTTATAAATTTTCCTCTTTGTTCACAGTACAAGATGAAAACAGAAGCACGAAGAAAAAATCTCCTTGTTTTGATTTTGCATTATTTAACTCAAGAAGGGTAGGTTACATGATAAATATTTTCAATTGTGAGTCTTCTTTTACTCTGATCTCCATTTTTCATCCACACACCTTTAAAAACAATTAATAGACTATTTTTCACAGCAGTTTCATATTTACAGAACTGTGTAAAAACTTCAGAGAATCTCCCTATATACCCTTTGCTTTCCCAAGTTTCTATTATTATTTTGTTAAATTTTATTTTATTGGTACATTTTAGGTATACAGTATAATAACATTCATCATTGGAAATTTGCACCTTTACAT